AAAGTTTGAGACTAGATTATTTCCAAAAGATTACCTGGAAGAGATTTTCTAGTAAACATCAGTACTAAAATTACGTTTCATAAAATATGTAACTACTATACCTATAAAGCCACATCTGCCTAGTGATAGCACTGATTTTAGAATGAAATGCTTTGCTTCACAGTCCTCTATATGATGGGTAGATGATTTCTGTTAAGAATTTACTCCTAGAAAAAGTATCTCCACTTTGAATCAGAATATGCCTCTGAATACAAATGATTGGAAGGGGAACAGGGTACCCTTTAGTGTGAGATGTGTAGAAAAGCCATGACTAACTTAAGAAAATGGAAAGCACTTCATTGGCTCAGAAACTAGAAAAATGTGTCTTTTCTTCTATATAAGCCAAATAAGTTAGGGCCCAAAATTGGGGTAGATAGTTGAACATTATAATTGATAAGCCAACGTTTTTAGGGGATTTCACCATATCTTATTTTCTTTTAGAATTGATCTTTAAAAATATTTGGCATAGTGAAATGAAATGTTGCCAAGTTCATTGTAAAATAGAAAATCCCATAGGAAAAGAATGTATTATTTTCACATGTTCCACAAGTTTTCTAAGCTAATATAGGTGATCAGTGTGTGATTGTACAGTCATAATGTGACCTAGCAGCAAAGTAAATGTTGGCCATGATGGTTCTAACACATAGATTATTGTTGCCATATCCTACTTGACTGTCTTCACCTTGATTACCTTGTTTAAATTCACACATAGGACATGTTCTATATATTTCATCAGTCTTTTAAGGATACACAAAACTAGTTAGCAAGATAACATATTTCATACCACTGATAATAGACTTAATTTTTTGGTATATCTTTCAGCATCCTTTTTAGAATCACAAATATATATTATTTCATAGTGAAAATGCACAGATTAAATTGTTTGAAAATATATGGGTTACAAAAAAAGTTTATAGTTCATCCGTGAAAGAAAGGCTTAGAGTATTTCTGTGTAAGTAAATAACAGTTCAAAGAAGTTGCATTCAAATTAGGTTTCAACGCATTCTGACTTTTTTTCCCCCTGAGCCAATGCTCTAGTCTAATAGGGCTCTACATTTAGCCATTTCTGGAAAGGATCTTACACTTGCTTTCCAGAGTTCTCATATTATTGACTATTCACTTGTAATCCAGGAAAACAGTTATTGACGTGTGCTACTGTTTTGATTTTCATATGGCTATTGCTGTGCTTCTGCTGTGTGTTTGCTCGCCTTGTTCTAGGTGGTAGTTTGGCTTGATAGAGATCACTCCAAGCTGCTGCCATCATCAGTTTGTGTGTGTGTGTGTGTGTGTGGTAAAAACATACACAACAAAACATAAATTCATGACTTGCTTTAAATACTTATAATAATTGAGCAATATAGATTATTCCTTCAAAAACTTGGCAATGTTGATCAAGTTAAAAGTGAATTTTTTTTTTCCATCAAATTGCCTTTGTGCCAAGTGCATCACAAATAAAAACATTCAGTAATGTTTTTGGAGGAAGAGGAAACTTCAATCTCTAAGTGCTGGAAGAAGCTGCAGCATAGTTTCCTATTCTCTGATGCCAAAGTGACAGTTTTGCTATTAGAATTATATTAATGTTGCTGGTTAATTTATACATCATTTCAGAGGAGTAACAGCCCTAACAATTGATGTCTTAATTAAAATCGTTACTTTTTAAAGCAACCTTATTTTCCTTTTTATTTTCAAGTTACTTTCAAGACGGTATAGTAAGAACGAACTTCATACAGAAGGAAATCTAGTTAACTAGCACAAAAACTCTAGCTCATTATCATCAGTTTCCTCTTCTGTAAAATGGAGATGATCATGCCTGCTGCCACAAAGGTTTAAAACAAATTTTAAAAGAGGCTAGTACATAGCATACTGCATAAACTGTAGTTATTGTGATGGTGATTAGGTGATGTTCTAAACCCTAAGGCTCTTCAATAAAAACCTCTATTTATTAAGCAAAATATTTCAATAATAAATACCTGTTCATCTTGTAACTAAAGCTTTCAATAATACAGTTTTTGGAATATATTTGCAGATTCAACTTCAAACAAATAAAGCAAGCTAGGGAAAATTAGAATGGTTACAGATATTTTTTTCAAATAAAGTAAACAAATGTTTAGTTCTTTAAACAAGAATATTACTTGTAATTTAATATGCATTTGATGGATATGCAAATGATGAATGCATTTGCTAGTATGCCAGAAATTGACATTTCAGAGAGAATTCAACTTGGTAGGTTACATATAATCACACACTGAAGGATTAAAATAGGAAGACTAGAAAGGAACAAGGCTAAGAAATGAATTCTGTCCCTGGGGTATTTGTCCCTGGGCATTAATATCTCAGGTAAGAAACCAGATTCTGCATTGTGTGTTGGTTTTACCAGAGGCACTGTTAATTTGTAAGTCTTCTAGAAGGAAGTAGACTCAGGGATCTGAAGTGTTTGTAACAGGAGTCCAGTCTTTTTATATAGTGATGGGCCAGTTTACACAAGGCTGGTGAGTTCATTAACAACTTAAATGTACAAATTCCATCAATTATAATTTACATTTTATAGAGAATGGGAGCTCTGGTAGCGTAGTGCCTAAGGCACTTGACTGCTAACCAGAAGGCTGGTGGTTCAAACCCACCAGCCACTCCTCAGAAGGAAGGTTGGAAGGAAGGTTGGACAGTCTACTTCTGTAGTGATACTGCCTCGGATAACCCAAGGAGGGGTCGCTGTGACTCGGGTCCAATTCCACGGCACATAACAACAGCAGAGTTAATGAATACTGCTTGCTATATTATATAGTATGTAGATAGTAGTCCTGAGAAATTAAATAAAGAGCTTTGTAGTAGATACCTAACGAAGAAATTTTTAGTTAACATTGGCTACCTCAGGAAGCTTTCTAACTTTATTTTGGAGGGGAGGGCCTGTATATATTTAAGATGCTTTCTGTTCTGCACCTTACTGATTTCTTAACACTCTTCTTTTTTTTCCTTCCTGTATTCCTATAGTTATAGCATATGAACATCTATAGCTTTCTCTTTAAATTTCCTAAATAAGGAAATTTCAATATAGCATTTAAATTCCAGAATTCAGTCCTGAAGTTCTTTCAGCTTTTGTTTCCTGTTCCTTCTTTAAAGAAATAAATAGCAAAACACAGTTTTAAATGTTTCAAGGGATAATGAAAGAACTTGCCAGCTCTCCCTCTCTGTTTCATTGATCATCTAATTTTGCACCAGAGTCTCTACCAGTTCCATATGACAGTGACTTTGGCAGCAGTGGGACAGAAATCTTAGCATCATGAATTCAGTATTAAGGGAAAAATATGTATGAATGAATGATTAGCAAACAGCAAAATTTTAAAGATGCCTAAAGGTAGAACAGATGTTATAAAAGTCCCTTCTTGATACTATTATATAAGCTGAAGGTCTGTTTATTTAATTCAGCTACTTTATCAGAATGCCATTTTGTAAACTACTTCCTCCAAAACACTGAATGTAATGTTGCATCTTTGTAAATTGTAAAACATTATTAATTTATTTCCAGCAGCTACTTATATTTATAACATATTTATAACAAATAGTACAGAAAGTAATTTTAATCTTTGGGATGCCAGCTTCATAGTTCATACTTATGTTTCAATTAGAAATTAATGTTATAGGACAGAGAGTTTCTCATCAATTAGAAGTGCAGCATAAAAATCAATACTCCTGAGTTTTGTTATCAGCTTGGCTCCTGGGGAATCATTTTTCCTTTCTACTACTTTCTGTATTTGAAGTCTTGTTAATTGTCCTCTCACATGATAAAAGCTGGAGCAGAAATATCATGAGATCTTTTTTAATAAGTGTTCTAATAGCTTCCAGAGTAAAAAAGATAAAGTCTTCAGGGCAATATAAAGTGGACCTAATAACCAAAAAGCCTCAGTAATTTTGGTTACTAAGTTGTTATTGTTACTTTTTTCATTGTTAATTTTCAAGAGAGGAAGCTCTTTGTAATGTTATTATATCAATTCTTGAACTGATAGCAAGAAAATGGTTCTATCAAGAGTTTTCTTTCTGCAAGCAGCCTTGCAGAAATGTTTCATATTTGATTATATATCCATTTGTTTTGTTTGTTCATGTTTCACCAAGCTGTTATTTATCATAACAAGAAAATATTTAAAGTCTTAATTTTTTCTTTGAACATCTGTAAAAAAAAATTTTTTTTGGAGTTGAGGGGACTTTGAAGTGGTGTGTATCAATTTTTGTAGAAGTTTCTTGATTTTATAAAGATTTTACTTATTGAAATAAATATATCATGAGCATCTCCTATAGACTCTCAAGATGAAATTGCCCTTTCCATAATCATGAAAACAAATGCCTTGCAAGATTAGTCAGGAGGACAAGCTAAAATATGTGAACTTATTATAGAGCTTTTTAAAAATGGAAGCACAATAAATCCCCCCCCCCCACATAGAATGCAGGTTATAATCCTTCCTTAAAATACAAGTCTATCAACTTGAAAGAACAGAAAGAATTGATGGCATTTAATTATAGCAGTGTTTTCTGATCAGTTTATTTTGAAGGCTTTGCATTTTTGCAGTGTTTCTTGAAGGAGCTAATGTTAGTTATTCTTGATGCTTTAGCAACTGAAGAATAAAATCATGAACGTTCTATTAAATAAGGGTACCAATGTATAACATATGTCATTGCATGTTAATATTTTTTGATTCCATAATGCCTATGGTTCTCAAATGTGTGATTCTCATGTGAATCACAAGGAGTGATGTACTAAAGTCAGACTTGAGGCAGTGCCATTTTGAAATATAAAGAATGTCTCTCTAACACTTGTCTTCGTGCTTTAAATGAAAAACTATAGCAGATGTGGAAAAGAATTATGGCAAGGACAACCTAATTTATGTTTTAGAAATTTTAGGAAATGTCATTTTTTTTTTTTTTTTACTGGTTTCAGAGTCTTTTTCAAATGTTTTAAACACAATTTTCAGATAACAGTAATGAAAAGCTGAGCCCCAAACCAGGGACAGGTGAACCAGTTTTAAGTTTGCACTACAGCACAGAAGGAACAACTACAAGCACAATAAAACTGAACTTTACAGATGAATGGTAAGTTAATATTTTTGTAAAGATTTTGTAAAGCTATTTTATAGGATTGTAGTTGATACTTATTTTTAGCTCTTCATCTTTATGTTTTGTTTTTTGCTATGTAATGCATTAAGTCTCAAAGTTTAGTGTGTTTCAGGATCACTTGGAGAGTTTGTTAAAATACAGATTACTGAGCCTACTCTCAGAGTTTGTAATTCAGTGATTTGAGTGAAATCTGCAAATTCGTATTTCTAACAAGCTCCCAGGTGCTGCTGATGTTGCTAGTCCTGGGATATTTCCTTTGATTGAAAACGTAAAAAATCAAAACAGTTTATCACTTACAGACTATTAATGCAAAAATATCAAGCTTAAAATTTGGGAGCTTTTTCCAGTGTTGTTCCTATATTTAGCTATATGTATATATTTTGTTTTTAGTTTTAAAACATAACTGCAATCATACTGAATATACTCCATTTTTCCCTGCATTTGTTTGACTTAACTTTATAATAAGTATTCCCATGTTATTACTTACTTTTCATAAATATAATTTCAGGAGCTATATAACTAAAATGGATGTATCATAGTTTACTTAACCATTTCCCTTTAAATGGGCAATGAAAGTACCATTTTTTACCAACTAAGATTATGATGAATATCTCACTTACAAATATCTTTAAGATTATTTCTTTGAGATGTATTTCTAAAAATGATGACATCTAGGTCAAAAGATACTGCCACATTGTTTTCAAAAGAGTTTTCTCTCAATCCGTTTCTACCAGCATTATGTGAAGACATGTTTTACTGTTTTCTAGGCCAGTATTTAAAACAGTCATTTTTTTTTTTTTTAATTTAATTAGTGATACGTTTGAACTTTATTTAATAGTTTTGTGGGTTCTCTTTATGAGATTTCTGACTATATTTACTGCTTATCTAATTGAATCTTGAAGAGTTTTTTAAATATTGAATTATTTGAGATTTTTATATTCTTTCTCATTGCCTCATGCCCTTTTGATTGAGGCAGCGTTCAAAAATTTATTTTTCCCATTTCATTGGTTTCTATTTGTGCATATGCGTTTATGCATTTTACATTAAAATCATTGCTTACATAGGATTTTAAAATATTACTGAATACCTTCTATGTTCCAGAGACTATTCTAGACACTGGAAATATTTCAGTGAACAAAATAGACAAAAAAGATGTCTACCCTGGTGGAGCTTATATTATAGTGAAGGGAACAGACAAACATAAAAAATAAGTTCACTGTATAGTATATTAGAAGGTGTTCAGTACTGTGGAGGAAAATAGAGGAGGGTAGAGGTGATTGAGAGACCTAGGAAAGAGGTAGGCATCGTTGAGAAGGTGACATTTGGGCAAGAACGTGAAGAATGAGGAGTAAGCCATGCATCTATCTGGAGAAGGAGCATTCCAGGCAGAGAGAACACCAGTGCAAAGGTTCTGAAGTAGGAGCAGAGCTAACATGTTCAAGAATCTTTAAGAAGATCACAGTGTAACTGGAGTGAAGTGACCAAAGGGGAGCATAGTAGCAGATAAAGTCAGCCAGTAAGTGAGGATATCTCAAAGGATAACAGATAGATCTGGCTGCTATGTTGAGAACAACAGGCCATAATAAGTAGAAGCCAGGAGACCAGTTAGACAACTATGGCAGCAAGCAAGGTAAGAGGTGGTGGTGCCTTGGACTGGGATGTGTGAGCAGTGGAAGTGGTGAAAAGTAGATGGGTTCTAGATACATATTTCAAGGTGCAGTCAGCAAGATTTCTTTATGAGCCTTATTGTTTGACCTTAACATTTTAGAATCATGGTTCCTTTTTCTTGATACATTATTTAAATGAATAGGAGGTCACCATACCTAACCTGTTGTATCTATTCTGCTATCATATTGCTGTGCAGAAGGGGCTCATTTCTTATAAAGAATCCCATGTGAAATTTTTTCAGAAAAAAAGTTGTTAGTTTCACTCATCTTTTGAATATTTTTTCCTTTTCTGAAATTGACCATAAATTCTCTCATTCATCAGTGCCCTGTCATCATTTTATTGTCAAAGTAATTAGCAGTTTTTTCTCATTATGAAAGTATTCAATATTCATTGTAAAAAAAAAAAATCTAAACATTCAAAAGGTATGCAATCTTTTCATCTCTGATAGTTTGGTATCTTCTTTTTCTTTTATTTGATGATGGATGAGGCAATAGAACCTCCTTAGTAAGAGCTTAACTCTGACATCAGGCAGACTAGGATTTAAATCCCAGCTCTTAGGATTTACTAATTTGACAAGCTGTTGAACTACTCTAAATCTCAGTTTTTCACCTGTAAAATGGGCATATTTAGAACCTGTTTTAAAAGTCTGTTGTAGACATTTCATGAAATCATGCAGAGAAAGTGCATAGCATTTACACATTTACTGGCACATGACAAGCCCTACATAGCTGTTAACTACAGTGATCATCTTTTTATAAACTGCCTTTTAAGTTCTTTGCCCAATTTTCTACTATGGTGTTTATTTTTTTCTTATTGATTTATAAGGACTATTTATTATGGATTCAAGTGAGAAAATACTATTTGTCTTTCATTTGTTGCGGATGTTTTCCCAGTTTTTTGTTTCTCTTTTCATTTATTTAACTGTGATTTTGCATTATGTTTTCCATCTGTGGTCTCATGCTTAGAAAAGCCTTCCCAGGGTCAGTGAAAGAGTTTCTTATTTTCCTCTTATATTTCTATGATTATGTCCAAGAGTATTTACTCTTTCTAGAAATTATTTTGCTATGAGCTGTGACGTAATACCTATAGCTTTTGTTTGCCACATGGTTATTTCTTTGTTCCAGTTCCATTTATTGAATAATCTGTTCATTCCTTTCTCTGTGATTTAAAAAGGCAAACTAACATGCTAAATTCTTATATTTCCTTGGTTACTGTGTCTTTTGCACTTATGCCTCTCTTCCTACATCATAATTATCATAACTATTATACATTTTATTCATGCCTATATCATAACTTTCTCAATGGAACAAAAAAGATTTATATATCACTTTAGCTTCTTTTTATAGAAAATCCCTATATATTTTTTCCTGCCTAAAAAGAAATACGTTTTCACTGAAAATGAATTCAAAATGGAGAGAAAAGGTTGTTTTTTTGTTGTTGTTTTAAAAAAAAAAAAACACTTGCAATCTTTTGACTAGGATGACACTTAACACTGACACTTAACCTTCTTGGCATTTTTCTATGTATATTTTCATACATAGAATTTATAAAAAGTTCTATCATTATACATATGTACTTTTTAAAAAACCAAATTATTTATGTAATTAACCTAAAATATTGGCTAGCCAAAAGTTACGATAATTGACATTTTCTACTGAGTCAGTGTTGACTATTAATGTTTCCTTATGGTTCTGTAACTCTTCTGAATTTTTTTTTCATGTTCATATTTATTCTAGATTTAAGAAATTTTTATATTTCTAGGACTCTAACTGTATTCTCAGATTTTTATACATTTTCCTCTGTTTTCTTTCCCACTCTAGTCCCTTGTTAGACTAATACCATGATTTGTCACAGAATGTTCATTGAAAATTGTTTATTTAAATTGGCCTGGTAATCCTGCCAAAATACTGACAGAATTATGGTCATCATCAGATGGGTATTAAAACTAAAACAGAAAACATAACTTTATCCTCTATACAAACCCATGACGTCTAATCAGCTGACATATTTGAACAACCAGCCAGAGCTGGAAGTGATCCATAGAAGGCAGTTCAACGGATGAAAGCAGTGGCCAGGCTTCTGTTCAACTATTAATTTAAAAATAGACTGGAACAGCAACGTCTAAAAGGGCAAATGATCAAAGTCTATAACACCATTAAGAATTTATTTAGATTGGTGATGAAGTTCTAGTAAGGACAAGAAGGGAGACAATGTAATAAGTTAAAATTCAGTAGAAGACACATGTAGAAAATACCTACAGACAATAGAAGCATCAAAACAGTAAAGAAGCAGTCCCTTCATATTGTTAGATTTATTTTTAAAGATTAATGTGTGTTAAGAGTAGTCATCTGATTCTTTTAAAGGATGTACAAGTACTATTAAAATAATAAACTGTATATTTTATATAGTCTGAGTTTTTTGACCCGTTTCTGTAGTTTATATAAAAATTATCACAAAAGTTCCTTTTTATGAAGTGTTTGGTGGAAACAATTGTTTTGCTATAGGAGCAGTACAGCCTCAAGTTCTAGAGGAAATGGAAGCCATTGCAAATCTGAGGGTCAAGAGGAATCCTTGGCCCCACAATGCTCAATGCAACCAGCAAAAGAAGACAATGAAATAAGTAAGTTGTTATTTTGCTTTTGTCATTACCGACACCTAATGTTGGATGTTTACCTATTTTTCTGTTCTGACTCTGTATTTTTGTTTCTTTTTTCTAATAAATTACTTTTGCCTCTGTAGTCCAGCTATTGCTATTGATAAATAGATAGTAGATGGCAAATGGCAGGGACCTTAAGCAGTTAAGAAGGGGAATTACAGTGAAGCATTACAGTTGCCCTCCGTGGATACAATGATCGAGTTAAGTCATTCTCATACTATAAATGTATAAGAAGTAAATGTTAGTTTGAATTGCCTTTGCCATTTTTATACTTAGCAGTATAATTCAGAGTATCATTCTTAATTCGTTCAAAGGTATAAATGGTTTATTGGATGGGGAATGGAGGAGAAGAGAAAGAAAATCTAAATAGGTTGTAAGTGCGTCCTTTTTCATACATGAAATGCCACTTAGGGAATTTTTCAGAACTCTTTGCTATAATAGTTTCAAGTGACCATTCTATAGGTACTTCAGTATAACAGAGATTTATAAGAATTACATATGTGTAAGACAACTCTCTCGTAAGCAAATGTCCAATTAGTAGCAAAAAAGACTGATCTTTCATAACTCTTGAACTTAAATCGAACAATAAGTATTTTTGATGACCAAAACAGAATTTATGTTAGGGTCATTTTACTGTTTATGATCGTTTAACACATACCAAACGCATGATAACAGGGTAGAAAAGTACTCTCAGTTTTAAGTTTAGATTTTGAGAATGTTAGAAGAAAAGCAAGATCAGTAATGTCTGCTGTAACAAAAAGTCTAGAGATTCTTCACATAGATTTCATGAAGATCCATGCATAGACTTTGGGAAGAGGGAATGGGCAGAATTACCCATCCATTCCCTGATAGTATTTGTACAATTTTGTGTTCACATATAGATTTGAATTATATTGGGCTTAGGGGCTTATCTGTCAATGGTTTTTGTGACCCAGAAAGGCTGAAGAACCACATACCTGTAGGAAACCTGGTATATGAAGTAGCTGTTTTATTTTTCTAAAAAAAAATGGATTTAATGATAATCTGGTTTATTTCCAGAAGCTCCTGAAGCATTATCTGAAGATTCAGCAAAGTATCAGGAACATACATCTCCAGAAAACACAACTGAGAAACACATAGATGTAGGTAAGTTGTCTTGCTTTCTTTAGATCATTACTTCATATGGGAAGATAAGCCTTAATCTAAACTAGTCACTCCAGACTAAGGTCATTTCCGAATAGGTGTGTTGTGGAATTTTCTTTTCCTTCTAAGGGAATTAGACTTCATATTAGAAAATTGATCAATTTTCAAAATCTGTGTTAAGTTAAATAATTATGGTACCCACATGACCAACTGCTACTGATTTATTTTCTCCCAGCACAATCAGATAAGTTCACATCTGAGCCATTGGATTCTAACTCAGGAGAAAGGAATGACCTCAATCTTGATAGACCTTGTAGGGTTCCAGAAGAATCCACTTTATCTGAAAAAAGGAAGGAACCAGAAACTTCAGATCCGTGCAGCACTGAGAGTGCTCCCAGTCAGACCCTCACTAGTCCTGAGCCTCAGTCCCAAACAGAAGCTGTCGGGCCTTCAGTTCAGGAGGAAGCATCAGCCAGAGACTCTGCTCTCCAGGACACAGATGACAGTGATGATGACCCAGTCCTGATCCCAGGTGCAAGGTACCGAGCAGGACCTGGTGATAGGTTAGTAAATTTTTAAGTAATATGAACTATAAAACATAATTCACAAGATTTTGTTTGGTATCACTTGATTTTTGACACTTAATTTTTCCTCGAAGAGTCTCTCAGTCATATAAAGTTGTAGAATTTTTTAAATTGTGAATGATTTCGTATATTCTTTGAGCAAACTGTGCAAGAGGGGAATAAAAATTCTTTGTTGCTCTTTATCTCTAGCACTGAGGCTTGCTCTTCAGTTTATAGATCAAGAGAAAGGAATGCTATAAATGATCGATTATTTGTGAAATCCAGGTTGTATTTGGCTGTTATGTTACCTGTAAACAACCTGGCCTCTATCAGTATTTTTTTTGATATTCTGGTTTTTTAGTTTTCTATTGACTATGGATTAAAGTAATGTTTCTGTTTTAGAAAACAATCATGTTTTTCTCTGATTCCTACTAAATCTAGTGACTCAATTTAGGAAATGAAAATTATACCAATTAACAAATATTATAGATATAATAAATAATTGAATTGCTAATATGTTTATACAGGTTTCCCATTTTTCATCTAATGTGATCACAAGGATACATTTACTCATTTTTATTCAATAAAATAAATCTTTTAAAGTATATTGCATTCCATGTTTATAGAATACTATTTCTACTATTAATGCCATCATATTTCAGTGTAAATTCTGTGCTCGTCTTATTTTGTCTCAAATGCTTATTAAAATAGAAGTAAAATTATTTTTGAACATCATATTTCTGTACTTGATATACTGCTATTGATAAAATATTCTGACACATCTGTCAACTGAAAAATCTAATGAAAAGGTTAACTTATCATTAAAAAGCAGCAATGTTGTGTAGTGGCCAAGAGCATAATGACTTGGATTTCATGACTTACTAGCATATTTCCTAATTCAATTTTTCTAATGTCTCTTAAAAGTTCAGTTTCCTTATCTATGAAATTTTGTTACAATTATCTAAAATTGTGAGAATTAAAAAAATTATCACACAGCCTGGCTTACAGCAAAAGCAATAAATAAATAACTGTAGTAGACATCTGAGATAGTCTGTGTAGCTACTTGTAATTAAAAAGAAGTTACGGGAAGAGTCGTTATAGGGATAAGGACTGACAGAAGACAAACAAAAGTCCTGAATAATATAGCCTGCAGTTCCATAAAACTGCCTTAACTATGAAAGGCTATCTATCTTCCTTTAGTCATATTTGGCAAATGTTTGCTTTGCAATGGCAATATGTCAACTATAAAACAAATAACTTTGTATTTGTTCTTTGAGATTAAATATTTTCTCTTTATCTAATACACATTAGTCTTTAGCATTCTCAGGATATTTTTTAGACAAGTAAAAGTTGGTTCTGAATATCATTACTACCTGACATATGCAAGTAAGGTTAGCAAGCTTAGCACTATTTGACAATCAAGCTGATTATTTCCAAAACCCAGGGTAGACAGCTAGATTCTATAATTAATTAAGCATTTACTTTATGACTTTCTATGTAGATAAATGAACATAAGTCCTTTTTTTTCACCCTATATTTAAGTAGCTAAACTTGATACCAAGATCATAGTTACAAACGAAACTTAAGTATCCAGTTTCTAGTAAAATGCAGCATATTACTGTCCAGGTTTGTTTGTTTAAATAAGAAGTTTTGTTTTGTTTAATAGTATAGCATAAACAAGAGAGCTGGGAAAGAGGGATGCCCTACAGTTCAGACCTTCTTGCAGTGTGTTATCCTTAGTTTGGAGGTGTCAGAAGCTATAGCATCTCTCTAGAGCTTTACTATTTATCATTTTTATAATACTTCAATGCCTTGTACACTTTAGAGATTCTCCTAAAGTTTGAATCTACCACAAAGATGGCTTCTGATAGTCCCCTTGACCTAGAAACACAGGCCCTGAGCCAGACGAGCAGATTCTGTTAGGGGAGAGATAATCAGAAGTCGACCCCACTTCATGCATATAGGAGCTCTGGTAGTGCCTAAGGCATTTGACTGCTTAACCAGAAAGCTGGCAGTTCAAACCCACCAGCCACTCCTTGGAAGGAAGACTGAGCAATCTACTTCCGTAGTGATACTGCCTCAGAAACCTAAGGAGAGGTCGCTATGAGCCAGGATCAACTCGACGGCAGTGAATTTAGGTGTTTTTTTTTTTTTTTTTTTTCTCTAAGCATGTACTCTTGAATTCATATTCTCATGGTTAGGTTCAGATCTGAATCCACTTCAGAGCCCACATTTGCTTCCTTGTCTTTTTTCCTTAAATATCATTTCTATATACTCCATGTAGATATTTAGCCTTAGTTTGCCCTATTTAGTTTTTGTTTTATTATATAGAACATGGTAATAGACTTACTAAAGAATAACCAAAGAATAATAAAATTATTAACCTTTCAAGAAACTTAATAACTTGTTGAAGGAGAGTGGACAAATGCACAAGTCATAAAAATATAGAAAACAGATTTAATAAATTAAATACTATGATATAGATAAAGATGTTTGTGCTGAGGTGATACTGAAGTGATTATAGTGATTATTTCAGTGATATCAGGTTTTTCTTTGAAATTTGCATTATTCTTGCCTAGCTGTTTACTAAAAATTTATAACTAGTGAAAAATCTTCCTTCTGACTTCTATCTAAATAATTTTTATATATCCTAACTTCCTTAGGGCCATCTTGATTTAATCTTGAATTACTTATATAAAATATAATTTTAATATTTATGTACCTTTCTAAGCTCTTCATCTTTGAGACTACTGCCAGTTCATCTTCTAAATTTAGAGGGATAGGTATATTGACTTTAATTCTAAAAAGAGAAAGTTTAAGAAATTTTGCTTCTTAAGAACATAAAAACAATGATTTACCAACTTGTAATTAGGTACGTGATTTTTGAGAATTTCCATTTCCAAAGGGGCAAAGGATTCAGAAGCTCTACTGTAAAAATTACACCTATAATACCATTTGGTTCTTAGAGTCCATGATTACCTTCCTGACATTGAATGAAATGCCAAACTAAAAGGAAGCAAGTCTTAAAGGTCCCATCTTGCTGTCACTGGAAAAACCCAGTCAAGACTAGTTTGGTTAGGGTAGAGAAATAGATCCAAAATTAAGAATGGTAGACGTATATACTTAATTAGATTTGTATTTCAATTAGCGTGAGAATCATATAAGCAAAAACCAAACTCACTGCCATCCAATCAATTCAGACCCATAGCAACCCCACTGGGTTTCTGAGGCAGTAAAGCTTTATGGAAGTAGAGTGCCCCATCTTCTTTCACAGAGCAGCTGGAGGGTTTGAACTGCCAACCTTCTGGTTAGCAGTCAGATACCTTAGGCACTATACCACCAGATCGTAAGAAGCACATACCAAAAAACCAAACTCACTGCTATCAAGTCAATTCCGACTCATAGCAACCCCCTTTGGGTTTCTGAGGTGTTGAATCTTTACGGAAGTAGATTGCCCCATCTTCCTCCCGTGGAGTGACTGGTAAGTTTGAACCACCAGCCTTCTGGTTAGCAGTCAGATGCCTTAGGCACTATGACACCAGAGCTCCTTTTAAGATTCACGTAGTGGGTCTCCTAATTTTTGCCCCAAAATTTAATTCTTAAAATGAAACCTAAAAAGTTAATAGCCAAGTCATTTTTAACACATATCAAATAAAATATTAAAAAGATACTTGCAGTGGCTAAGTAATAATTTTTAAAAAAGATTTGCATTCTTATAATTTGGTTGAATGATATGATCTAGGTTTTTACTTTGGGGCTAAGAGCAAGCATGAGAAGAAAGTGTCTTAGAAAAGAAAAGCCTTAACAACTAACATAGATACTTTAAAAATGGAATGCTCTTTTCATTAACTATAGCTTGTCTCTTTACAAATATAACTGGGACTCTCTGTGCAGAGGTCAGGAGACTTTTTCTTAAAGGGCCGGATAGCAAATATTCTAGGCTTTGCTGGCCAAGAAGCAAAATGGAAGCTATTATATAAGTACTTATACAACCATTTAAAATGTAACCTTTTAAAAAAATATAAAATCTATTCTTAGCTTGCAAGCCATTAAAAAAAAAAGTAGCAGCTGACCAGATTTGGTTCAAGGGCCATAATTTGCTGATCTCTGTTTTATGACAAATCAGTCTTACAGAAAGTCATGGTAAAATGCCTCCACTGACAGAAATCCATAGTTGAAACAGTGAAATCTATGAATCACCACACATTGGGGTCCCCTTTAACTTTGTCTAGGGCAAGAACATTAAATGGAATATATATTTTAAATGACATAGTAAAAGAATATACTCTCTAATTGTAGAATTTTAATAAACAGTAAATCAAATTAGTATCTCTATCTCTTAGAGGTTTTAAATAATGGACTCTAGAAACATAAGTATGTGCTTTTTGAGTAACATTTACTTCCAAATCTGCCTTTGGGGAGTGATCAGGTTTTCTATTTAGGTAGTATTCATATAACCTGTTCTTACATTGCCAAATCCATCTTGTAAAAAATGGTCTGCTGACCTAGTTGGTGGCTTTAGTGAACTGCCAAACCTAAATTATGAATCACTCTCTGAAAAAAGACGAGCATCTGAATAAGATGCTGAAGATGTCCTCACATAGTTTGAATAGTTATTAGTTATAGCCTTAAGGTGCTCTAAAGATGTTTGTTTTTCCTTCTGAAGATTAAGGATGTTAATCCTGTATTGCCTGTTAATCTTTTTTCTTTCTTTCTTTTTTTTTTTGAAAAAAGAATAGACTTCTTCCTTGCATAGAAATTTTGTTCCATCTACCTACTCTGGACTCTATGGAAAGCCAAACTTATTTCTGTGTTATGAATTTGTTCAGTCATCATTGTAATCACTCTTTCAACATTTCTAATGATTCTAGCTTATTCTCTATCAAAGAAAATTGCAGAGAGAAAAAAAAAAAAAGTAATCAAAGAGAAATAACTAGCCTCCTAAGGAGCTAAAAGCTCGGTTAGCCTTTGTTTGCTTACGGTTAAGCCAAATGAGTCAGCTCAGGGCTTAATTATTTATTTCTGAAAGAGCAATTTAGCCTTGAGGAGCATAATGTAGGTGTTGCAGTGAATGGTATTCATGAGTCACTGAGTCAGTTCCCCACACTCTGACAGGGTTAGGTTCTAATCTATTTTAAAAGTAAAAGGGATTAAGTGCAATGTCTTTCTTCTAATCTCTCTTCAGTAAGGTTTCTTTTTATTTAATTTCTTCATACACATTTACTTGAATGTCATATTCCTCACTTAATGTCCTCAATCACAAAGGGAAGCAAAAAAAAACTTTTTTTATGATGATAAAAGTGATGACCTTAATGCTTTAAATATTTGGTTCTTTGAAGTCTTTGTGAGTGACTTTAGTTATTGTGTTCCCTTCACTAGATTTCATATCAGAGGAACAACAATAGGTGATAGAATAATGAGGTAATTCAGTATATTCCTTCATTATTTTATTTCTTCTTTATGATGGATATGCCAGGTCCTCGTTCTCCACAGCTAACCACCTTTCCTATTAACAGTTAATATTTCTTTTGAACTTACTGAACTTTTAGTGCTAAGCATTATAAAGCAGGTTGCTTTTCATAAACTGTATTTAGCTGCATGCACTGCATGAGAATAGAATGAAAAGACATCTGTGTGTAGATATAACTGATGTTCACTTCAAGTGTGTCACATGACAAAGTAACTGTAGTCTGAAATTATATTCTTTAAATATAGGCTACTTGCTTTGAATGTTTTATTGAATGCAACTTATTTTTTTAAAAAACTTGATTTGGGATAACAGTTACAATTTTTTGTTATTCAAATACCCTTTTCATGAGATTAGTAACTAAAACTGTACTTGAGTCTAATTCTGTGTATAAATGTAAAATTCTCATTTTAGGGGGGAAAAAGCTGTTTCTGTATAAATAATAAGACTGTCACACATCCAGATAATATATAACCCTCGTACACTTTTGTAATTTCAAGTCTGACAGTAGGTACAGTTTTGAGTAAAAGTGAGCCTCAATCCTATCAATCATCTACCAAAAACTTGGTTTAGTGACAAAATCCTCCTTAAGCTTAATTCTGGTGGTGCATGTCTGTTATTTACTATTAGATTCTAAAACTACGTGGAACATAATACCTAATATGTAGCCACAATCAGAAATGTAAGATTTATAGAGTTCCTTTGGGAAATAATGAAATAAACCAAGAAATATTATAGGTGGTAGAATTCCCTGGTTAAGGCCCGTTCTCAGGAGGATTCCAGTGTAAAAATCTTAAATTTGGTTTTGTGTTGGTGTTTCTAAGGCTGTTTTAATGGTAAGTTATATTTGGAGTAAGTTTTTGCAAATTAGTCTGATTACTAGTTATCACTCTCTAATTAAATGACAGCAAAATGGAATTTCTTTTAAAACTTTTTGATTTTCTGATTTATACTTTTTATTTCAAATAGTTAGAACTGGTTTCTGTTTTTATAGTGAAGATTGCAACTAAAAAGCATTACATTGCTTAAAGTGAATTTGACGAAAGCTAAAACACTGAAATGGAGATTATTATGAACTAATTAACAGTGGGAACATAGAAACTATTAAAATTACCTCTCCTTAGAATGAAGGAGATTAGACTCACTCTTCTTTAGCTCAGTTATTTTTTACTTATATAGAGATTGTCTTGGAAATTTTCTAATTATAAGGCAATTTTCTAGCACTTTATGCACATTTGTTCTTCCCATTTTGGGAGCTAGGGGTGCTCCAGTAATGTAAACTTCTATTTAAGATAAAATTAGAGAAATAAAATTATCCCAGATTATTATCTCTATTACTCATATACCTAGTTTTATTAAGAACTGCCTTGCAGTGCTTCTTAAATGTGTTTTAGCATAATGTACTAAGATTCTGAATTAGAGGTGCCATATTATGTTTTCTTTAATTAGTAAATAAAATGGTAGTTACCCCCTGCTTTTCACCCTACTGCTGTTATGCATTGGATTCTCACCTGGTCTATGGAGATAGTCCTCTGACTCGCTCCAGTCTGTCCCTTTTGTGCATCAGATCTGCTTTCAGTGGCTCTCCACTGCCTGTGACAAAGAAACACCCACACTTCTTTGCCTGGTGTATTGGGCACTCCATGGCTGGCTCTTGCCAGGAATTGTTCAGACTCTCTACATCAACCATTTGTGGTGTCATACTCTCTACATTAGCCATGTGGAGTATCTCTGAACACATTCAGGGAACTGAATACATCATGCTGATTTATGTCTCCATGTCTTTACTTACCCTATGTCCTTTAACTGAAATGTTTATCTCCCTATTGTTCTCCCATCACCTTCACCATCTTTTGGCCATCTAATTTTGTAGCATTCATCTTAAGCCTTTGCTTTCTGAAACTTTTCCTAGCATGTACATTCCACACTGCTAAATAGAACTGAACATTTCCTGTGGGTGCCCTCATGCACATCTACAGCACACCCTATAGCACTTCATCATATATGTGCATTTACTTACAGGGGAATGCAAACATCTGTAAGGCCAGCATGATAGAGACATGCACACACAAATAAAATTGGCAAATAAAATACCACTTTAATCTAAAACTCTAGGTAACTAAGTTTTTATTCGTGTTTCTCTAGATGACCTGGCTTATTTTTTTCTTCCTCTGCTTCCTAAAACTTAAAAGTAAATGAAAGACCTATGAATTACTCTGCCACAATCTCCCACACATTTGCTAAGTCTCTAGAAGGACTCCCAGGAGTCAGGGGCATTTCATTTGTAATCATGGCTATAGTTGATTACAGCAAAGGAAAAAGACACATCAGGTGGGAGTCTGGAAGAATCCACGCACAGGATCCCAACGTTCTTCCTCTCAGGACAGAACACACAGAATATGCTCTTTCTTCCAATAATAAAGTGCAGTAACACTTGCATCGTGTTTCTGTCAAAGGAAGCCTGCTGTTAAGAATCAAATTCCAGTGTTTTTATTTGGGGCTTGTCATGTAAGCCCGCTCTGTTTGTGCAACCAACCATAACTACCAAGATTGCAGACCCAGAAGGAAAGCAGGTGTGCACCATAAATCACACTATTTTGTGCAAACAATCTAGACAGACTGGTTCTGCAGTAGTCAGTATTCTAGGCAGGGAAAACAAGGCAGGGAACATTTAAAAACCAAAATCCTAGGCACCAACCAAGGGCCATTTGGCCAGCCCTGCAAGCAGGAGGACCTTCAAATGATCGCAGCAGCAGGTCAGCTTATCCATTGCCTTTGTTTACTACTATATACTTAATGGCACATAACAACAACAAACAACATATTGTGAAAATAATCCATTTTTTTTGCCCACCTCCCTTCACATGACAAAGGAGCAGAAACAAGATACACTCTAGCAACCTAGTGGACTCTCTTATTTCAGATAATTGTAAAGATGTGTTGAAATGACAGAAATTCCAATATATAGACCTTTCCTGTTGCTAAAGCTAGATGACAAACTAAAAGCGGTTTTTACTGTGAACAAGTGCTTTTAAAGCACTTTAAAGTTGTTGATGTTTTTGGGTTTTTGTTTTTAACAGTAAACTTTTCTAAACTCTTATTCGTAGATCCATTTGGATTGCAAACACTTTTTTCATTGATAATTTAATAGTAAATTTTAGCTTAAACCTATCTGAATAATCAAACCCACTGCCATTGAGTCAATTCCAACTCATAGCAACTCTATAGGACAGAGTAGAATTGCTCCATACGGTTTCCAAGGCAGTAAATCTTTACGGAGACAGACTGCCTCATCTTTCTGCTGTTGAGCCACTAGTTGGTTGGAACCACTGACCTTTTGTTTAGCAGCTGAATGCTTTGGCCACTGCACCAGCAAAGTTCAACATTAACCATTTGCATACCCAGGAACTCCTAATTTTAAATTGTTGTTATTGCTAGGTGCCATCAAGTCGGTTCCAACTCATAGCAACCCTTATGTACAACAGAATGAAACACTGCCCGTCCTCCACCAGCCTCACAGTTGTTGCTATGCTTGAGCTTATTGTGGGAGCCGCTGTGTCAAGCCATCTCACTAAGGGTCTTCTTCTCTTTTGCTGATTCTCTATTTTACCAAGCATGATATCCTTCTTCAGGGACTGGTTCCTCCTAATAACATTTCCAAAGTATGTGACACAAAGTCTTGTCATCCTCGCTTCAAGGAGCACTATCGCTGTACTTCTTCCAGGACAGACTTGTGCATTCTTCTGGCAATCCACAGTGTATTCGGTATTCTTGGCCAGCACTATAATTCAAATGATTCAAATCTTCTTTGGTCTTCCTTATTCATTGTCCAGCTTTCACATGCATATGAGGTTATTGAAAATACCATGGCTTGGGTCAGGTGCACCTTAGTCCTCAAAGCGACATCTTTGCTTTTAAAGACTTTGAAGAGGTCTTTTGCAGCAGATCTGTCCAATGCAGTATGTCATTTGATTTCTTGACTGCTGCTTCCCTGGGTGTTGATGGTGGATCCAAACAAAAAGAAATCCTTATAAACCTAATCTTTTCTCCATTTGTCATGGTGTTGCTTATTAGTCCAAATGTGAGGATTTTTGTTTTCTTTAGGTTGGGTGTAATCCATACTGAAGACTGTAGTCTTTGATCTTCATCAGTGTTTCAAGTCCTCTTCACTTTTAACAAGCAAGACTGTGTCATCTGCATACTGCAGGTTGTTAATAAGTCTTCCTCCAATCTTGATATCACATTCTTCTTCATATAGTCTACTTTCTTGGATATTTGCTCACTATACAAATAGTGCCTAAGGCACTTGACTGCTAACCAGAAGGCTGGCGGTTCAAACCCACCAGCCACTCCTAGGAAGGAAGATGGGGCAATCTACTTCCATAGTGATACTGCCTCAGAAACCCAGGGAGGGGTCACTATGAGTTGGGTCCGACTCGACGGCACATAACAACAACAACATGCAAATTGAATAAGTATGGTGAAAGGATAGAACCCTGATGCACACCTTTCCTGATTTTAAACCATGCAGTAGTATCCCTTTGTTCTATTCAAATGACAGCCTCCTGGTCTATGTACAGGTTCCTCATGAGCACAGTTAAGTGTTCTGGAATTCCCCTTCTTCACAATGTTATCCATAATTTGTTATGAATCACACAGTCAAATGCCTTTGCATAGTCAATAAACCATTCATTTGTCACTTTGTCATACGGTGGCTTGCATGTTGCTCTGATGCTGGAAGCTATGCCACTGGTATCTCAAATCCCAGCAGGGTCACCCATGGTAGACAGGTTTCAGTGAGCTTCTGGGCTGAGACAGACTAGGAAGAAGGAAGAGGTAGTCCACTTCTGAAAAAAATGGTCCATGAAACCTTTATGAATAGCAGCAGAACATTGTCTGATACAGTGCCACATGTTGAGTCCCTCAGGTTGAAGGCACTCAAAATATGACTCAG